AGCTTTCTAACAATGATTTATTAAGTTTAATGATACTATTATTTTTTTTGGTTTTAAGGAAAACACTGTTAACCAGTGTATATACTAGAAGGTTAGTGGGAGTAAGTTTATATTTTTGATTCTATATATTGATGATATTTTATTTACTAGTAGTGATCTTAGTTTATTATATAAAACTAAAAGTTATCTCTAAGAACTTTGAAATGAAAGATATGGATGAGACATTCTACATGATAGTAATAGAAATATTGTATAATAGATCACGTAAATTTTTAGGATTATCTCAGAAAGCATATATTGAAAGAATTCTAGAAAGATTTGGTATGGAACATTATTCAACCAGTATTGCTCCATACATAAAAGTGGATAAATTCAACCTAATGCAATCCCAAAGAATAAGTTAGCTAAAAGGTAAAGAAGCGAAAATATTCCCTATGCATATATTGTGGAGTTTGATATATATATATATACAAGTTGGTATGTGATAAAAGATTATATGCTCACACTTAGGAAGACATTTTTTAATTGGTTATTTGTTTTTTTTGGCTGGAAAAACAATATTATGAAAAAGTATAAAGTAATTTTTTATTACTTTGTGTATTATGAATTTTTAATTTGTAGTATGCTTTGAGGCTGTTGATGCGTAAATTCTCACGACTCGGAACGACGGCCTTTATCTGCAAAATAGAGGGACGTCACATCGAAAGGCACCGGTGGGGTGCCAGCCGAGGACCCTCCGACGATCAAGTTAGTACTTACAATCATATCATATAATAATTATGTATATTCTGTTTAGGGGTTTTTTCTCGTACCTTCTTTAATGACTTGGTGCTCTATTTATGGCTGTTGATTGGAATTAAATTGGTTCCGCTGATATCGATGGTTGATCTTATCTTCCGTTTGTGCGAGATCATAGGAGATTTATTGCCAGATTTGTCGGGCATATAATTTAATCCTTTTGACCTCCTCCAATTATAATAGGATTATTCTTACTTGTTGAACCACGTCAAATTTCATTATCCTTGATAATGAAATCTAATCAATCTTATCGAGGGTTGGTAGGTTTATATTTTTCCCTATCAGTTGCCCCTCATTCCCAAGCTTGCACGTCTAGCTTTGGGAATGTAATAAATATATATATATATATATATATATATATATATATTTTTTTTTTTTTGTTACCCCTGTGAACAGTACCCCGCAGCTACTGTTCATCTGAACAGTAAAAGATTCTTTTTTTTTTTTTTTTTTTTTTTTTTTTTTTTCTCCTGCCCTGAAACAATACCCCCGCGGGTACTATTCCCGCGGGTATTGTTCATGTGAATAGTATAAGATTTTTTTTTTTTTTTTTTCTTTGCCCTGGGAACTCTTCCCTCAGGTACTATTTTTGGGTACTCTGCCTCGGGGTACTATTTTTGATACCTTTAGGTACTCTGCCCCTGGGTATTCTTTTTGGTACCCTTGGGTACTTTTCCCTTGGTAAAGGAATAAATTGGACGAGCGTTACTCAGGTCGTCACTCCTTTAATAAGGGAATTAAATTTTACGAGCTTTACTCAGTTCGTCCCATTTAGTAAGGAATTTTTATTTACTATCCCTTATAGTACGGGGATATTGATTGCGAGATTCATTCAACCCGAGTTCTTTTAGTATATGATATTTCTTTACTATCACTTATAGTACAGGGATATTGATTACGGGATTCATTCAACCCGTCCCTTTAGCAAGGGAATAAATTTTACGAGCTTCACTCAGCTCGTCCCTTTAGTAAGGGAATTAGGTTTTACAAGCTTAACTCAGCTCGTCCCTTTAGTAAGGGAATTAATTATCACATAGGTATAGCATGTGAGGGGGAGGATCATTTTTTGACCTGACCTTTGTAGGTTAAGTCTTAATCTCTGATGACCATACTTTCGTCAGTTAGGCCCTGGTCTTGGTCTCTGATGACCAGACTTGGGGTGACCGGGCACTGATCTTAGATGACCGAGCCTTTGTAGACTTTGGGCAATCAATTCTTAATCTTGGTTGAATAGGCCTTGGTTTTGGATAACCAAGCCTTGATTTATGATAACCAAGGGTTGTACCCTTCCCGGTGTATAGAGACTTGGTTATGGTTTCGGAGGATCGAGCACCAGTCTTAGACGACTAGTGCCCCCGAGGGGTCGCTAAAGGAAAGAGACTAAAAACCCGACTAGCTCGATGCACCAAGGTACGTCAATCTTCTAAACCTTGTTATCATATGTAGATCGACGATTGATATCGTATGATCCACTATTCTATCCCCGATGCTGGGATCTTGGGTGATGACCCATTCTATGGACGTTTATACAATAGACGGGGTGTCTGGTGCTGTAACAATTTACAGTTATCTAAAAATATTAAATTGTGTTAGAAAGAATTACTGAAAATTAACCTGCAATGGATTGTTAATCCAAAATTATGCATAATCTGAAGTCGATAGGCAATTCCTACAAGGGAAGAGAAGTGACAAATTGTCGTCTGGTAAGTGGAGGCTTAGTGTCCAGCGACTAGCTTAATGCTTGGTGGATAGGGGCGTGGTATCCAACGGCTGACAGATGACGGTCTAGTGGCCAGTACCTCGTTGGGTCCAATGATCGCCCTTAACTTAGGAACCTCCTTGGGAATACAGACCTCATGGGATCTTGAGGGACATTGAACTCCTTGGACCTGAAGGCCTCGATACATTCTTAGGTGTAGAAGGCCACCCTGATTGCACGAACGGACGGAGTAATGAGACTCCGTTGCCAGAGACATCCTTAGTAGTAGAGGCTTTATTAGTAGGTAGAGACCCCCTTGTTAGTGGTGATCTTCTTGATGGGTGAAGACCTACCCATTTATATAGGTGCAGAAGGACCAGGTCTTAGTCTTCAACGATCAGGCCTTGGTAATTGGTTGCTGCCCGATATGAGATGGAGTCTGGTCTTACACGACTAAACCTCAGTAGTGACGGAACCAAGCATCGCTAAATGGAAAACACCATATTTTGATTATTGTCATCATACACTGGGTGGCATCATGTAACCCACTGTTTTGCCCCCAATATGATGGACGGGTAATCAAGATGTAGAGTCCCGTCCTTATATAAGAACATGGAAACCCATTGTCAACTGATGACTTTGGGATGATTTCCATGATCGGAAACTTTCGTCTTGCCGTCCGAGCCAAGTCGCGTCGGGATAATTATTTCTTCAGAGAACTAATCGTTCCCACAGACGGCGCCAGCTATTAATGCGTAAATTCTGACGACTCAGAATGACGGCGTTTATTTGCAAAATAAAGGGACGTCATATCGAATGGCACCGGTGGGGTGCCGGCCGAGGACCCTCCGACGATCAAGTTAGTACTTGTAATCGTATCACATAATAATTATGTATATTTTGTTTAGGGGTTTTTTCTCGTACCTTCTTTAATGGCTTGGTACTCTATTTGTGGCTGTTGATTGGAATCAAATTGGTTCCGCCGATGTCGATGGTTGATCTTATCTTTCGCTTGTGCGAGATTATAGGAGATTTATTGCCAGATTTGTCGGGGATATAATTTAATCCTTTTGACCTCTTCCAATTATAATAGGATTATTCTTACTTGTTGAACCACGTCAGATTTCATTATCGTTGATAATGAAATCTAATCAATCTTATCGAGGGTAGGGTAGGTTTATATTTTTCCCTATTAGAGGCTATAATTTATTATTACTGAATTTATTTCAAGATTTGGAGTTATGGATACTATTTTCAGATTGCTGAAAATTTATACTGCAATTGTTGATCTTCTTGTATGAAAAATGATAGGTATTCTAAAGTTGAAATACTTTTTTATTAAAGAAGATGTTTAGAAACAACGAATGTCTATTGAATATATATGCATAAAACTTATGATTGCAATCCATTAACGAATGGACTACCACCCAAGACATTTAAGGAACATGTTAAAAGAATGGGTCTTGAATATAGTCAATGATATTATTTTTTAATTGTGGATTGCTTAACAGTGCTTATATATATTTGACATTTTGCGCTCATTAAATGTATTTATGATATTTTCTATTAATTAATGTACATGTACGTATTGCTTTAATAAGTGGTAATAGGAATAGTCTTGGAAAAGTCATTATTTTTAGATCATTATTGATACTTCTCATTTATAGACTATGTTGAATAAGTTACTAGTTTTGTGGTACATGGAAGGGACTGTGTCGTTTAGGGACATACAACCGCCATGACTCACATTGGTAATTTGTTTACCATGGTATTTATGATGACCAACTTAATATATTAATCTGATTTATGATGCACACTAATGACTATTTTACTAAACCACTACAGAAATTATCATATGTGCCAAATGGGAGAATGTAAAATTATTTATTTAATTGTGACTCACATGATTTGGACATGTGACATATTACTTAGTGGCTAAGTAAATATATATCAATTAATATTATTTATTTTTGGTCAACTTATAATTATTTTTTTGGTAATTATTTATTGAAGAAGTGTTTTCCTTTCTTATTCCTTACTTTGATGGAAAAAAGAATTATGTTACTAAAAAGAAAATTGGACCTCTCTTTATCTTTAAAAGAGTGCATATACTCCATCAATTATGTACAACTAATGATACAACAAGTAAAAGTTTTATGTGTGCAAAAGGCTAAGAGAGAAATCGGTTTCCATACTTTGCTTTTGCAGTTTAGCATGTTGTTCGTTCCGCAAAAAGGATCTCGACGTTTGCTTTGATCTCTTCGAGTTTTACAATTACAGATCGAGGTATTTATATCTAACTATTAATTTATGCATTATAGATATGTGAAAATCATGAAATTCTAAGATATGGGATTCATGTAAATTTGTGATTAATGACTTAACACGAATTAATTATAGTTTACAATATGTAAATTAAGGCACTTGATTAATTTACTAAATCATATGAATACATGAAAATATATAGAGTAAGTGCTCTCCAATTAATTGTGACCATCCAAAGGAAAATTATGGCCAAAACATTCATTTAGTGGATTTATCAATTCAAGTACTTCTTGTCAATATAATTGCAAATATAGCAATTAAATTACCATTAATTTTGATATATGCAAGAGAAGTTATTATGCAAATGCCAAATACATTATACATGCATGGAATTAATGTGCCTAGCTTATTTAATTTAATTAGCAGGTGCTGCTGGTTCTTCAGGAGCAGATCCTTCAGGAACAGATCCTTCAGGAGCAGGTCCTTCAATTTCTTCATCCTCATCAGGATCATCAGGGTAGATACCCAACTCCTCGAGCATTTGGGTGCACTCGGCATCGGGGTCCTTCTTCATGAAGCCGATGTAGTTGGCGTAGCGAATATCGGAGTTTGATTGAATATCGCTGAGGGTGACCGGGGCTACTTCATCCATGGCTTCACCGCAGGTGTCAGGTTGGGGGCTTGACACCACTGCCATCTCACAAATCTCGTCACCGTGATCTCCTTCAGCCTTTAGATTGTAGTTCCCATCTTTGCCAGATATCCCTTTAACGGAGTATGTCACATTTCCGGTCTCCGCATTTCTGCATTCCAGAATCACTTCCGCACCTGCACAATTAAGGAAAAAATAATTTAATACTCCTGATATATTGATGGCATGATTATTTACCAAAAAAATATTGATGACATGATATTACTATCTACAAATAAAAAAATTGACAAAAATAAATACATTTTGAACATTGTTATTTCAGCTCAAGTCTTGTCAAACACTTCTATATCTTCATTGCATGCGCTCATTGAATAACCATAGTGTTACATTACATACATACACACACACACACACATATATATATATATATATGAGTTTCATGTTCATAATTTGATTAAAAGAGGAAGATATATTTGTCTGGAAGGTAACGACAAAAAGGCCGGACAAAGCTTATATACAATCAAGTAATTAAAAATAATTTCAAAAAATTAGATTTAACAAAGAAGACCCGGTATACAATAAGAAAGAATACAACAATATTATATGGTGGATCCCATTGATATGAGACAAAGACGAGGGTGATGATCATGATGAATTTAATGATTTTAATTACCTTCAAGGAATTTACTCAACTTGGTGACAAACTGAACGCGACATGGGTCGCAGTACACCTTGCCTTCGATGGTGAACTTGCTGTCTTTTTTCTCCGCGCCATGGGCCAATCCAGACAGAGCCAAGAGGCAGAGAGCAGAGGCGACGAATGCTACAGCCTTAGCCATTTTCACTTCTCTTGGTGCGTATTGAAATTGGAGGGGTATCAAAATGCCTTAAATAGAAGAGATGAGAGAGAATCAAAAGAAGAGAGGTTGAGCGGTTGTTTCTATATGATAATTTTAGTACTACATGGCAAAGTTTTATCATGATAGAGTTTAATTGAACGGTTATATGGTGGCCGAGTTTTTTCTCTTCCACTGTTAAATGATTTAATTAAACAACCTTCCAACCTGGCAGGTCCTTGTTTACACTTGTCTCTGCTCCAACATCTTCCATGCTTTGACAAACCAAGATGAGAAAAAATAATTAAAAAAGGCATTATATCAAAAAATAATAATACTTCTTAAATATTAATTAATTTGTAGATATTGTCACTAAATTTTATTACAAATTTCAATTGACCCTTCAATTTTTTCAAAACACTTATATATTGACCCAAAGTATAGAGTTTGAAAATAAATTTAGTATAGGTATTCTTGAGATTTAAGAAAATTCTAACTTGAACCAGTTCAACTATACACTCAGTGAAATAAAAATTTAAGTTCATTATTATTGTAATCCTTATTGCAACCTCATGTTAGTTGTATCTCAATTGTCTAGCTCCTTCTCTTTTAATCTCAATTGTCTAGCTACTTGTATATATAATATAGGGATGCGATGGATAATGTATTCACATCTGTAATTTCCCAAGTATTAATAGTAGTTTATGTATGTGGTACTACGGGCGGGCGGGTGGAGAGAGAGAGAGGGTATTTTTATCCCTTGAAACAAAGTTTTTTAGTAATTTGATGATATTATAAGGATAATAGGGTCTTTTTCACTTAGTTGATGGGTATTTTGGTTACCTCAACCATTTGTCTACAAAAATTACTAATTTTTGTTTGACCGGAGGTCTTTGCAAAAATGGGTCAAACCTCATTAACCAACTACCAAAAAATACATAAATTTCATCTACTTGTAATTATGTCAAACTTCAAAGAAGTCAGTGTATTTTACCCTAATCCTTATCTATAGAGCCATAAAGCATCAAATTCTGATCTTCGTTAACTGCAACAGAGTTTTTGAACATGAAAATTAATTTAAGTTCAACCCAAAATGCAGTGAAGCTGATTAATCCTGCATAAAAAGGCTCTACAAAGACTGTTTCTGTTTTTAATTTGTGACGTTGAGATCACAATGAACCAACCTTATCAGTACGTCAAGGCCGAATAATTAATCCTACTGATGACCCTGATTTGAAAACAGTAAAACTTTCTTGAGGTCTTGTTAATTTTGTTGGTGACTTTGAGAATTTTTGCAGTACAAATACATAATTTTCATTCAATAGAGAAGAATGTTATAGAAACAGAAATTTTGTATATTTTTTCTAACAAAATAACGTGAATCTATCATTTCAAAACAAATAGTGACAGATCTACTTGCCAATTAATCAGTCAAAACATGAAGCTGATTAAATGAGATCTAAAGGTTATAGATCCTGTTAGTATTATATTTCGATTTCGGAGAGAAAAAATATAAGCAGCACATATATATGTGGGCAATATTCAACCCAAGGCTTCTTGAGGATTGATAATAGCGAATTAAACTTGTTATTTTAAATTTTCATGGAGTTAATTAATTACATTAATTTGTATATGCAAATCTCCTTAATTTATCCATAAAAGCAAATTATATATGAGATGTTCAACTACTCCCCGTGAGCAGAGTAGCATACACACTTTTAGTACTAATTAGGATGTAATCCTACCATTAGTTAATGAGCTTTTTCCTTTTCACTTTTTCTTATTATCATTATATATTATTAACAAGAAATAATAAAACTAGACATGTAATTAATTAGAAGAAACTAAACTAAATCAATTGCTTTTCTTCCCCAAAAAAAATACCCGTCTCTGTTCAACCATGGAAGCCTGAAATTTGCAAAGTTTGAAAAAATATATATGTAAATAAAAATCCTTGGTTAGTCGTCATCATACACCAAATTCAACTCTTTAATTTTTGCATGTCTAAAACTCTAATGCATCATTTGTCTCCATCTCTTGTATTTTTGCTTAGTCGTCATCATAAAGCAGAAAAATAGCATTCTAGTATTATAGTGAATATCTCTGGCTTTCTATCATCTTCATTCTAATTAATGTTTGTCATTCTCTTTTGACATCAATTTCTTTTTATAATATATATATATATATATATATATATATATATATATATATATATATATATTGTGAGATATAGATTTTGTAATTGGCAAATTTCGTTGTCAAAACAAGTCCTATCGAGTTGTAATTTTTCGGGTCAAAATTTTAAAGATTGAAGATATTGAAAATCGGATGCGGATTTGAAGAAGGTTAAGTGTTCATGATATACTACACTTCGAGATGATGAGAATAATGCTTTAAGAAGTTTTGAGGAGTAGTGAGAACATGTAGGAAGGGTTTTGGAAGGTTCGAAACAAGTTTTTATATTCTATCCATCTTGAATTAGTTCAAGATTTATCGAGCAGGTTCAATATCAGCAGAATTGCATAAGTTTCAAGACTGGCCATCTTGAACCGGTTCAACTGGTTCAGGGGGGCTGAACCAGTTCAAGAATCCGTAGGATTCATTACTGCCTTCTTGAACCGGTTCAGCCCCTCTGAACTGGTTCAAGGTCTCCTGGTAGCACCTGGATTGAAGTTTCCTTTTCGCTGTTTGATTCCTATTTTATCCCAACTTCCTTTTAAGTTCTATGCACGAAATTTATCATATTTTTTGATGGACTAGGACTTTCAAAACTCTATATAAACCATGTTATATACATAGGTTTATTGTAATGACTCGAATAGATACCAAAATAATAATAAAAATTTATAAAAATTTCGACATGACTTCCGCAGAAAATGTCCCTCAACAACCTGTAGAAATACAAAAATAAATGCAATGGGCTCATTGGGCCTTAAATCTAACTTATCCTGTCCCAACGCACAATTCAAATATTATATTACATTCCCAAAATGGTTACATACATACAGAAGTCCCGTTCCTCCATCTCATCCAAACATGGAACCCACTTAAGTTACATCAAATTACAGTCCATAAAATGTAGGTAGAATTAAAAGTCCATAACTTACAACATTATACTAATTAAACTAAAGTGTCATAAGGTAGTTAATATTACATTTACAAAATACTAGAGTCTAATACAAAAGATAACAAAATAGAATGGGTCTTCAAGCTCATCTAAACCTGTGATGGAACGTCGTCTGCCACCTCTTTTCCATATCCTGAAAAAATGTTAAAAATAAGGGGGTGAGCACAAGCTCAGTAGGAAGTGTCTAAGACACACTTCTTATGTCCTCGTGAATCCATGCAATGAATAGATAAAAAGTGAACAGAATCATGCTATCGGGAAACGCACATTCTCAACCACAATAACAAGTATATAACAAATATCAACCAATCATAAATTTACCACGATGTCATGAAGTGCAATGTTATGCAAATGTCACTCCCCATTTCCGAAACAATTCCGTTTCAACAACCAAACCGTTAGTGTTGTCCGACCCAAGGCACCTCCATGGCGTCACGAAAGGAAGATTGGTTAACTATCCACGACTATAAGGCACCTCCAAGGCGTCGCATCCAGCCTAGTTAACTCAACTACATTCCCTTCTAGACTACACCAACATCACGGACCACTAGGCGCCTCTTAGGCGTTCGGTTTTCGCAACACTTTTAGAAAATATTTTCCCCAAAACAATTTTATTTGTTCTAACAATTATTTTTCCCCTTTCTCTTTCCCAATGGATGCATGAATGCTTCATACTTCAAATCATTAATTTAACTATATGTTCTCACACATTTCCATTTACATCATCATCACAATTTAATGAAAATTTCTAAACATTCATTTCCTTTATTTATTTATTTATTTATAACCATAGCATCCATTTTTCTTCAAGACAATAAATAAATAAATAATGATGAAACATACAACACATCAAACACTAAGCATGCTCATTTACCGTAATGAAAATAGACATGTATATGAATTCAAATAACACAAGGAGCACAATTATCATTATAATTACAAAGAACTACAACAACAACAAGCTAAGTAATTAAAATTTAGCATGCTTAGAATCAGATTTAAGAGGAAAAATTTACCAAAGGCCAAGAAATTGTAGATTAGAACACCCCTACCTCAAATTGATGAAAACCCCCAATTTGAACCCAAGAACCCTAGAATTTTGAACTCCCTAGAGTGCACCAAATGATGATTGGCTCCTATCAAATTAACGGCCTCGAAGAGTTCAACAACTTTGCTTCACAATGTTCTACCAAATTCCCAAAAGAAAAGGCAAGATCAAGGTTTGAAGTTGCAAAAAGAAAAAAAAAAAAATGGAAACTGCCGAGAGCAGTCTGGTTACAGCAAGAGAGAGAGAGAGAAAGGTGGACTCGTGTAATGGCCTTATGGCCTTTTGTGTGTTTATAACATGGGTGGGGCCCACATGTTTATTTCTTTTAACATTAATTATATATATATATATATATATATATATATATATATATATATATATATATATATAGATCACAACATTACATTTATACACGGCTTTAGGGATCATAAATTATATATTTTGAGAAAGCCTTTCAGAGAGAGAAAAATTCAGAAAATCAAATCTGATTATTCTGAATTTATTTTTGAGAGCACACATATATATTCATGCGTGATTTAGTTGTGTTGTTCTCTATCTCATTGGAATTGGAGCTATATTGAAGATTCAAATATTCCGAATGAATAGCAAGATTTAATTATTCGACAACCAAGTTCAGATCTTGAAGAACATAAGTAAATTCAATCAAACTTTGAAAGGGTTAGAGCATTCGTGGAGTGTTGTCTGATCTGCCTGCTACTCTTCTACAAATATTAAGCCTAAGCCTGAGATCAATTTGTTGTTGGACGAGGAGTCGCAAAACCAGATGATTGTCAGCAATTGGTGTTTGGTAGAACGATAGGGTGTGAGCCAGAGTCAAAATCCGGTATACTTTGTTTCAAGCATAGTGGATTGGTTTACTTTGGACTACATAGTCCACGAGGTTTTTCCCATAACAGTTAACGTATTTTATCAACTGGGGTTTCCTCACTAAAATCATGGTACAATCTCTCTAACTCTAACTTGTTTTACTTTTCATATATTTGTGATTGTGGATATTTAAAGTGATCACATAATTTAATCAATCACAAATTGAGCAAGTTGACCTAATAATCAGATCTAGCTCATTGAAGGAGGTAATCACAATGAGAATCAACTAACTATTTCTGCATTCCGCGTAACTCTTGTTTCACAAATATATACACATACACATACATATAAAGTACACCCTTATTGAATCGGATACTGGTTTAGTAACAAATCGAAAACCCTATATACTAGAATGTTATTTTTCTAGTATTATTGAGAGAGAGATAGAAAAAATAAATTGGGATTTTTTGGCTTTTCATTGTTGAATGGTGGAAGCAAGAATTTTATGCTGCGTTTAGTGTGCATGAATGGAATGTAATGCAAGTGGGAATGGAATGAGAATAGGAATGGAATAGAATAAGAATTATCATTCTATTGTTTGGTCGTAAATATGAAATGTGTTGGAATAAAATGACAATAACCATTCTAGTGTTTGGTTGGACCAATTTTAAATTTAGAATGGAATAAATTTCAAATTAAATTCTCCAAAATATCCCTGTCAGTAAAAAATAAATTAAATTAACAAAATAACATTCTACTATAATTTTTTAAAAATAAATGGTGGTAGTGGCAGTGGTGAATGGTGATAAGCGATAGTGGTGTAGGTGGTGGTGTTGGAAGGTAACGACGGCCGTGGGAATGGTGGAAGGCGGCGGTGTTGGTGAAAGGCAGTAGTGGTGAAAGGCGGTGGCAAGAGTGTTGGTGGTGGTGGAAGGAGATAGTGGTGTAGGTGGCGGTGGTGGAAGCCCATGGAGGTGATTATGGTGGTGAGGGAAGGTGGTGGAAGGTAGTGGCGGTGGTGGATGATGGTAGTGGTGGAAGGTGATGAAAGGCGGTGGCGGCGGTGGTGGTAGTGGTAAAAGGTGGAGGAAGGCGATGGCGGTGGTAGTGGTAGCAACGGTGGTGGAAGGTGGTGGTGGTGGTGAAAGGTGGTGGCAGTGATGGTGGAACGCGGCAACGGCAATGGTGGTGGTGATTTAAGATGGTAGCGGTGGCGACAATGGTGGTGGAAGGCGGTGGCGGTGGCAGTGGCGGTGGCGGTGGTGGAAGGTGGTGAAAGGCCGTGGTAGCGGTAGTGGTAGAAGGTGATGGTAGTGGTGGTGGCAGCGGCGGTGGTGTAAGATGGTGGCGGTGGTGAAAAGAGGTGGTTGCAGTGGTGGTGGAAGGCGGTGGCTATGGTGAAAGGTGGCGGCGGTGGTGGTGGTGGTGGTGGAGGAGGAGGAAGATGGTAAAAGGTGATGGTGGCGGGTGGTGGTGGAAGGTGGTGGCGGTGGAAGGTGGTGGCGGTGGTGGTCGAAGGTGGTAGCGGTGGTGAAAGTGGCAGTGACGATAGTTGGGGCAAAGGAAAGCGGTATCGGTGGTGAAAGGCGGTGACAGTAGTGAAAAACGGTGGGTGGTGGTGAAAGGTGGAGGTGGTTGTGGTGGAAGATGGTGGTGATTTTTGGATTTCGAATTTGAAGGTTTTTTAGGAAGTCAATTTTTTTAAAAAAATATACTTAGGAATGATTATTTTATAGGTTTAATTATGGAATAGATTTTCATTCAAATGGATTGGACATTCTAACTTTAAATTGCATACCAAATAAAGGAATGGTTGGAATGGGCATTCCATTCCATTCCATTCCAACACACTTTAATTGTTTTTGTTAGTTTCCTTTAATCACGCCTCTAGTTTTGTCGTTTTCTGTAAAAGAGTAGGTTTCTTAGAATATGAAAAGGAAAAGCTCATTGATTAATTGTCATTTCTTAAAATATGAAAAGAAAAGTTCATTAATTAGTTGCAATAGAATTAGATCCGGAGACTAGCATTAAAACTAAGTATACTACTCCTTGCTTACTAAATGAGCTGTTACTTTGGAGCTTCTTAAATTAATAATTTCTTGTAATTATTAAGGAACTTATACATACCACTAACTCACATCCCTTTCAAATAATGGATATATACTTATCCACAAATATAATAGTACCTTGTAATATATGGAAATTAAGGCATTTAATCATTTGTAGCTCAAGTATATACTCCAATTAATTGTCACCCACAACAAAAATTAAGGCCAAAATATTAATACAATGGATTTATCAACTCAAGTACTCATTGTCATTATACCTAGCAAATTTCCATACACCTTGATTGCATGCAAGAGAAGTGGATTGTTATCAAGTTATGCAAAAGCCAAATAAATTGTACTTGCATGGAATTAATGTGGCTAGCTTATTAAATTTAATTAGTAGGTTCTTCGGGAGCGACATCCTCATCAGAATCATCAGGGGAGATACCCAACTCCTCGAGGACCTTAGGGCACTCCGCTTCGGGGTCCTTTTTCATGAAGCCAATGTAGTTGGCGTAGCGAATGTCAGAGGACATGCCGTTATCGGTGAGGGTGACTGGGGCTGTTTCATCCATGGCTTCACCACAGGTGTCTGGTTTGGGGCTTGTCGCCACCTTCACTTCACAAATCTCATCACCGTGATCTCCTTCTGCCTTTAAACTGTAGCTCCCATCTTTGCCAGATTTTCCGTTAACGGTGTATGTCACGTTTCCAGTCTCCTCATTTTTGCATAACAGGACCACATCCGCACCTATACAATTAATGACATGATATTAAGACTAATTAAAGTACTGATAAAAGTAAATACATTTTGAACATTGCTATTTCAGCTGAAGTTTTTTGTCAAACACTTTGCATCTATGCAATGCACCACTACGGATGCAAATGGTGAACTCTTCTATCTAAATATCATTTTTCATACATTTTTATTTAATTAACGAAATATAATTAGTTGATGACAAAAAGACCTCCTCTACATCAAGGGTACCTAAGTTATGGCTGGATCACACGCAAATGCACGTTATTGTTAACCATGTCTAGAAAGAAAATTCTAGTATGTACAAGTGCTAAGCCATGCATTAACTTTTTTTTGTATTGCACTAGTTTTTATATCTTTGCACACATTGAATAACAATATTGTTACATTACATATATATGAGTTTCATGTCATAATTTGATAGTTTCAATTAAAAGAAGAAGAAGAAGAAGGTTGTTTGTCTAGAAAGTAAGCAACTAAGAGATCAACTAAAGTTTATATAAAATGAAGTAATTTAAAACGATTTCAAAAAATTAGATTTAATAAAAGACATTGTATATAGTAGAAAAGATTAAACAAACAAAAAATTTTTTACGCCATATGGAACAAAGGTAAGGATAGGAATGATGAATTTGATCATTTTAATTACCTTCGAGGAATTGACTCAACTTGGTGACAAATTGGACGCGACATGGGTCACAGTAAACCTTGCCTTCAATGGTGAACTTGCTGTCTTTGTTTTTGCCCGCAGCTCCGTGAGCCAATCCAGACAAGGCCAAGAGGCAGAGGGCAGAGGCCACGAGTGCTACAGCCTTTGCCATTTTCACTTCTCTTGGTGGGTGTTGGAATTGGAGGTATCAAAATGCCTTAAATAGAAGGAAGATGGGGGGGAGAGAATCAGAGAGAGAGAGAGGTTGAACGGTTTTTTCTGAATATGGTAATTTTAGTACTACAGTATTTGTGTGGTTCAGAGAGACTCGGTCTTCATTTACTATTTTTAACTTCCTTCTCTTAGAGGAGATTAAACAAAAAGGGTCAAATAATGACTGGGTTCGGCTAATAGACAACCAGGTTTTTTGTTTCAAATTTGCCACTACCTCCAAATTTGGCGGCACTCTTCGTCTCTTCCCTCAATGGCTTCAACTTTCAACCCATCAAATAACTCTCTCTCTTCTCCAAACCCTCCAAAACCCCATACCCACTCTCTGCAAAACCCTCCCAATTCTCTCTCTCATCTCCACTCCCCCCAAACCCCACTCAATACCCTAACCCTAGACCGTAAGCTCGTCATCAATGGCGGTTCCAAACTCTCCGGTCACGTCCCCATTAGCGGCTCCAAGAACTCTGCTTTACCGATACTCGCAGCGACCCTTTGCTGCTCAGGCACTTCCAAGCTTCGGAATGTGCCGAATCTTTCTGATACTCGAACCATGGTGTCGGTTTTGGACTCTATGGGGGCTGAAATTAACGAATTTGGTGGTGAAATGTTGGTTAATGCAGATGGGGTTCGGTGTGTGGAGCCTTGTTCGGATGAAATTGGGAAGATTAGAGGTGGGTTTTTCGTTATTGGGCCGTTGCTAGCTCGGTTCGGTGAGGCGGTGGTGGCGTTACCTGGTGGGTGTGATATTGGGGCTCGCCCAATTGATCTGTACATTCGTGGGCTTCGTGCTCTCGGTGCCATTGTCGAATTCAGGTTAGTGCACCTAATGGGTTTTAAGCATTCATAGTGTAATGTTTCAAATCAGTAAATTTTGTCTATACTGTTTGAAATGCCATTCAGAGTATCATTCAACAGTTGAATATCATTACATTCTTATGCTTTGGATATGAAACTGATCCTGTCAACCTGATCTTATATGGTTAACTTTGACCGATATGGTTAAACCAGAATCAGTTTGGTATGTAACTTCTGGATGTACAGGGACTTTTTCAGATACAATGGTATTTTATTGTAGATCCTACATAGAGAATGCTTTAGTGTCTGTTCAAGCATTAACCTTTTAGTTTTTTGAGAAATTAGAGTATTAGAAAAAGGGAAAGAGTAAAAAACACTGGCCTTATAGTTTCTGCTGTAAGGTTTCTAGGAATATAATAGAGACAGTTGAAGACCATTACTGCTGGGATTTTTTGCCACTTTGTCAATGCAATTTACAGTACATATTGCATTGGAAATTTCCATTATTTTGACTTCTACTTTTAATACAAAAACTAAGTAGTAAAATTATGTACCATATTTTTTTCCCAGATAAATATTTGTTCACTAACATTATAAGAACGGTTGAAAAAAAAAATAATGGATATTAGTTCTAGAAAAGCAAACTAAGTGTAGGTATCTCTTTTGATGAATAACAAATTTATTAGAAGAGAAAATAAATACAAGAGAAAAGATAATGCTTTCTTCCAACAGAATGATGAAACAAAAAAAAAAAGAAAGAAAGAGAAAAAGGGAACATCTCTACCACAAACAGAAAGTCACAGACAATACAAAGAAGCTGGGTACTCAAGGAGGTTGGTGAACTCCAGTATAGATCCTGAACTAGTTCCACATCTATTGAAAGCATCTGACTCTGAATTGACAAAGACATTATTCAAGAGAAAGCAACTCCACTTCTAAGTGTAATAGTGGTAGGTGTTTCTGATTTGTCCTGTTTAAAATGATGGCCTGACTGTTAAATTGTGAATGCTAGTCATAACTTCATGATTCAATAAAATTGGTGTCATATACCCTTGATGATGAGACCCCAATATAGCTACTGACTATGCATGATGTGAAGAGACTAAAAATGAGCTTTAAGCTACTTTACAGGGATGGAAAAGTTTATGCACGTGCTGCAAATGGAAAAGGGTTGGTGGGGGGAAGGTTCCGACTTGACTTTCCTAGTGTTGGGGCAACTGAAACTCTTATGATGGCAGCATGTATGGCTGATGGAGTGACTGTACTTTCAAATGTAGCTCAAGTATGATATGAGTAATTTCACTGAATTCTTTTGTTTCTCATAGGAAATTTTAGATGAGCTTTCTGAATTCTGATGTAATGGGAGTTCTGCCCCTTGTCCATTCACCACAGGAACCAGAGGTGGTTGATCTTGCTCGTTTTCTTATGGACAGTGGAGCATGTGTGAAAGGAGCAGGCACTAGTAAAGTTTTTATCAAAGGAAGGAGTCAGTTGCATGGTTCAGAACATACCATAATACCAGATAGAATTGAAGCAGGCACCTTTTTACTTGCTGCTGCAATTACCCGCTCGTGCATCTCAATTTCACCTGTCATTCCTTGCCATTTATCATGTTTAATTGACAAGCTTTTGGGTGCTGGTTGCAAAATTTTAAATCGTACTCATGACAGCTTGGAGGTATGATAGTTTTTATTAATCTTGTTTCTTTGTTTTTCTTGTAGTCCTTTTTCCTCCCTTTTTATGAAGGGTCATAATGGATTGGCATACCAGTTTTCAGCAGTTTCTGTAGATGATCTGTGTGCTTTCAATGTCAAAACAAGCCCGTTTCCTGGGTTTCCTACAGACCTCCAACCTCAAACAATGGCACTGCTCACTTCTTGCAATGGTTTAAGTATTGTGGAGGAATCTGTATTTGAAAACCGCATGGGTCATGGTAAGTGTGCTAAATGGATGAGCGTGTAATTTGGCATAAATTTAGTCTCTTTCCTTGAGTTTATAATTTCTTATACATTTGAGCTACTCAAAATGAGATGTTCTGATGATATTCTGACCTGCATAAATGTAAGTGTGGTTAATGAAATTTTATTTGTGGAACATGTTACCAAGAATTTGTTTGGTTGACTCATCTGGCAATTGTCTTTAGCTTCAGGCTTGATGCTTACGGGTTGCTCATCAAAATCCTATACATTTGAGGTTCTTTTCAGAACTACAATTGTATATTATTAGATCTTTTGCCCATACATTTTTAGGTGCTTATCGCATTAGCCAGACAATATGCCATCCAACAATTAATATATTGTTATCTAGGGGATTGAAGCTTGTTATCACATGCCTCCTGTATCCAGTTATTTTTTCATGTTTCAAAGAATTTGTTTGGTTGACCATCATCTGGCAATTGTCTTGGGCTTCAGTCATGAGATTATACATCAAGGAAATATGCATTTAGGATTCTTTTCAGGACTACAATTGCATATTATTAGGCCTTTTGCCTATACATTTTGGGGTTTCTTATTGCATTAGGCGGACAGGATGCCATCCAACAGTTGCTATATTACCAATTAAGTGTTGATTCATGATTAAAAGCACAAGCTGTACATATGTAAAGAAGCCAATACAGAAATTGAAGCTTGTTATCACATGCATTCTGTATCCAACAGATGCCTATATTATTAAGTATTTATCTTTGCCTTATTTCTCATTTGTTCCTATCATTTTATATAGCAAAAGAACTGCAGAAGCTTGGACCAAGAATTCAGGTTTTCGGGAGCACTGCATTGGTTTTCGGAAAAGAGAAAGGAAGGTTATATCTTTTCCGAATATAGGATCTTAAATTATTTCTTTTGTGTAGTAGATGGAACGCATTTGAAGATTGAAATTGACGATTTCTTTGAATTGTTCTTTTTTCAGTGCACTTCATGGTTCTCGAGTTGGTGCAACTGATTTAAGAGGTGGGATGTCACTGGTTTTGGCGGGGTTAGCTGCAGAAGGAATTACAGAAGTCAGTGGGATTTGTCATATTGATCGAGGTTATGAGAATATAGAGATGAAGCTTCAGCTTCTAGGAGCAGATGTTAAACGTTTAGTTCCTGTTGCAAAGCCACTGTAACAAGTATGTTTTCAACTTGCTTCTTGAAAATCAGTTGAGTTTATTGCTACAACATTGTGCTTCCGTAGCTTATTTTCACCCATTACTTGCTAACCTGCTAACACTTGCTACTTGCGTATCTTAAGAAATTGTTTGAGTGAGGCATCTTTAAAATTTTGGCAAGATTTTGAGTTACAATTTTTTGAGGATTGAGTATATTCATATATGGCACAATTGACTTGGGAAGTGGAATCCATCAGATACCCTTCTGGACAAGGCATCTAGCATTGCTTTGTAATCTTAATATGCTGTTGAATAAATCTATTGAAACTGCTGGTGTAATATTAGATGAATTTAATTTGGTACTTATGGCCATTTTTGTTTATTTAATTTACTAATACCCAAAATCTCAGTTTTATTACACACCATTTCATGTTCTGTAATTAAGGTATTCTACTGAAATTATATCATTAGCAGAGTAATTTTTTGATTTAATGCTCCTACCATTTATTGCCAAAAGCTTTTCTTTACCTCATGTCCTCTCATTCCTTATGTTTGGCATTATTATCTCTATCAACGGGCAGAGAAATTACTGCTGGTCTTGTAGTCCAGGTGGTTTATGGTCGGTCTCAAGGCACCATTCTGTGACTGAATAACTCGGTCTGTGGAACTGTTGAACCATTTGAGATGGCTAGATGCATGGGGCATAGGGATAGTACCCCTTGTGATAATTTTAATAGTCTCATCACTCATGTCTCAGATTCTCAATTGGAACCTGAACCCACTGAGATCATTTTCAACTTTTATAGAATCCATAGAAGCTTGGTCATGCATGGATAATAAATAATAGTATTATATATCTATACTAAACATATATATGTACTACTAAAGAAAATTCTGACAAAAAGTACTCGTTTTTAACTAAAAAACGTTTCATATGTTGTACATGTAATATAACGTTTTCTATACTATACGTGATGGAAAAAAAGTCTTGTAAAAATCTGTAGAATGTTTATTCTGTCACCTTTCAAATCCGCAAATTATTAATTTTCATTGTGTAACACCTTAAACTGATCGAAGGCAGTCGCCACTCACTCTCAAGATTGATAGCCTGGCATCTTTTGACATTTTTACCCTAGCGTATAGGTAACCTTTTGTGGTTAGTTTATACAAATAGGTGATCAACATATTCTGTGAAAACTATATGTTGATACTTGAGATAAGAAATATGTTTTTGAAACAAACAAAATTGCCCTTATTAGTTATTTAAATATACTTTAAAAAATTGCTAATTGGTTCGTTCATTCATTTAATTTGATAAACCATTGAATAAATATTAACAAAATTATATCAAGAATATGATAAAATAATTGTTATTGTAACATACATTGAAGAAATAACATTCAAATGATGTTAAATTTTGTACTCTATCTAAAAAATTTCATATATTATTATGCTGAATTCTTCATTAAATATTCAAGAACGAATCATATAATTAATACTCATGTCAATTGATCTTTTCTTTGCTCATTGTAAATTGCATATTTGAGCGTGTTAGAAGACTCAAGGACAGGTCCATTGCCTCCTGGTCCTTGTTTTCCCTTCCTTCTCCTTACTCCTCTGCTTCTAAATTCTTGTTAGTAATCATCTTAGTGCATTCACCCATCTTAGTGTGAAGGAATTTGAGAAGGCTGTGGAGGGAGATTTCAGCATTGGTGTTCTTCATCAGCTCTCCAGCAACTTCTGCAGGGGTGACCTTTACCTCCCTCAAGAGTCCTTCAATCTGATCAAATAGCTGGTGGTGGCAAAGCCCCAGGTAGTTCAAAGCTAGTTGCTTGAATGCAGAGAAGGTACAGTATGACATTTCGACATGCATGTCCATACGACCTGGTCTCAGTAAAGCAGGGTCAAGCCTCTCTTTGTGATTGGTTGTGAAAATGATTAAACGTTCATTTCCACAGCACGACCAGAGGCCATCGATGAAGTTTAGAAGTCCTGAGAGTGTCACCTTTTGGCCGTTCTCTGGTACCTCCCCAACCTCTCTATTTTGCAGCTTGATGGTGCAGTCAATATCCTCAATGACAAGTATGGATCTGCTGGACATGCTAAGCAAGAGAGACCTTAGATCTGAATTAGATTGGACGTCTGTTAGATCCAAGTCATATATGTCGAAGTTTAAGTGATTAGCAATGGCCGCGATCAAGCTTGACTTGCCTGTGCCTGGAGGGCCATACAGCAAGTACCCGCGCTTCCAAGCTTTCCCAATTCTTCCGTAGAATCCCTCTCTTAGAAAATTGTCCAAGTCCTCCACTAATGCTTTCTTTAGGCCTGAATCCATTGCCAGGTTCTTGAAGGTCATGGGGTGGCTGAGATTGACTGCATCTGAACCCCAACCATTATAAGGAGCAACGGTGTGGAGCTTTATTGCCTTGCTCTCTTCTTTTATTGCCTTGGATCTCTCTAAAATATATGGCAAGTATGAACCCAGCACCTTCTCTTTGTGTTTCTTGGGAAAGCTCAACTCATAGGACTTGATTTCTGATCTTAAAGTGGCATTAAGATCTGGGCGATGTCTGAAATTTACCGCATCAACCTGTGTACAAATCAATCTCCATTTTACTTGTACATTTTCAAAACTATCAACTATCTCTTCATTCCTATCAATGGTGATTTCTACTCTCTTCTCGTTCTCTGCCTTACCCAATCTCACTCTTTGAGTTGATGGGTTTACTATAGTGCCTAAATATACATTGGCTGCCTCAAAAACTTGGTTCACGAATTGCCCTTGAAATTCTTCTATGACGATGGTGAAGTGAGAAGAGAAATGGTGAGAAAGGTGACGAAATCCGGAGAAGAAGAAGAAGTTTTGGATCTCGGGTGGGAGGAATTCATTTGCAACACTTCGAATGAGCATTGCCGAAGCAGCAAGAGAGGCTGCTGCGGAAAATACAGCTTTTATATCAGGGATTCTTTGAGGAGACATTTTTCAGGACTCTGAAATATGGAGAGTTTCTATCAAATTATGAGAAAGGAATGAGTAGAAAACAGAGTATGATGTTTGGTATATTGGTTGAAGCTCTTCAAGATTCTGTATGATTCTATTGGTTTGTCTTGGGATTCATATCCAATGATATCTATAGGTACAAAGCCTGGAAATAATGACTTTTCATTGTGAACTTTCTTGGCTACCAAACCTTTGAAAACCATGTATTGTATGAATCATAGACAATTCAATTGAAAGGACTTCTAGATGACTTTTCATTTTGATCTTTCTTGCCGGCCAAGCCTTTTGAAAACTATGCATGAATTGGTCCTCTATAATCTTCTCAATGCTGGGGTATGTCCTCATTCTACGTTTCTACATAATATATAATGAAATTTACAAAACAAGCTTAGCCCAACCCATTAGACAGGCCCAATGAGGAGAGGATTGCTACTTTCTAATGCAAAGGAGCCCAATACATTCCATTTCATTCGAATTCAAATAACTGAATTTGAGACCAAACCAAACCAATCAATCTCAGCTGTATTTCAAAATCTTCCCTTCTCGTCCATTTATGAAAAACTTTTTTCTTTTTCCTTTTTTTCTTTTTTTTTTTTTTTTTTTTTTTTTTTTTTAATGTTGAGGTAACAATAGCTATTTTGTTTATTTCTTTTTTGTTGACCAAATGGCCTAGGGGGAGGACACCATCAAAATTTTAACTCTTTTATTTATTTATTATTATCATCCTGATAAATTAGGAAGAGAGGATTTCGATACGGGCACACCCGTTCGCCCACCCGTTCAGAGAGTCAAGCGTTCTACTAACTAGACCATGAATAATGTTGATCAATTTTTTAACTTGATATCATGATTTTGTGTGTAGCCAAATAACAGATTGGATTCAGATCGGATCAATTCTATTTCAATAACTAGATATGTTAAAGAAGTAATTTTGTTAAAAAGAATGTAATGGTAAATGGGATTAGCAAAGAATGATTAGGGAATAAAAAAAATAAAGTCCCCCGGTAGAAAACAAAATATAAACAAAATAGAGAGTAGAAATTTGATATTTAACTTTTTATTTAAAAATAATAATAATAATAGAGAAAATAGAGAGAGGGAAGAAAAATAAAATAAATAATGGTAAAAGAATTTTAATAATTTGTAAATAATACTATATCTGATACACACAGTGGCTAATCTCCACTAAAATTGTGAGCGTTGTGGTAGGCAACTAGGTTGGTTCATGCCTAGGATGGCAATTTGATCCGCCCCCGGTTACCCGCCCCACTCCGCATCATATTTGATGGTTTTGGGGGGCCATTTTGTATATTTGGGCGGGATGGTTTGATGTAATAAAAATTCGCGCGGGTTTGGTGCGAGGGCGGGGAGAGGTCGCTCCGTACCGTCCCGTCCCGTTTAGATTGGCAAATTACTTAAATACCCATATTTTATTAATATATATATTTCTCACTATATATTAAGTACCCTATATAACAATATTAAAGTAAAAAATGAATTTGATTAAAAGGAAATTTGCAATGGTGAAAAAAAAAAAAAAAGAAGAAGAAGAAGAAGAAGAAGAAGTCTATTTTAACAATAAATAAATTATGATCTTAAACGGGGCGGGGCGAGTACCCGCGGGAATTAAAATGTTAGACGGTTACGAGAATGGATTAAAAAATATCCTTATTTTTTGCTATTTTGGGTTGGGACAGGAGCTAAATTTTTAAATGGTTGGGGGAGGGTACACCCGCCATCCCTATTCATGCCATTTTCTCGGAAGAACTTTCAAATTTGCCACGGCCTCCAAATTGAGCGGCTCTTCTTCGTCTCTTGCCTCGAATAGGTGGCTTCAATTTTCAACCCATTAAACCTCTCTATCTTCTCCAAACCCTCCAAAACCCCATACCCACTCTCTGCAAAATCCTCCCAATTCTCTCTCATCTCCACCCCCCAAAAACCCCACTCTATTACCCTAACCCTAGACCCTAAGCTCATCATCAATGGCGGTTCCAAACTCTCCGGTCATGTCCCCATTAGCGGTTCCAAGAACTCCGCTTTATCGGTACTCGCAGCGACCCTTGCTGCTCAGGCACTTCCAAACTTCCGAATGTGCCGAATCGTTCTGATACTCGAACGATGGTGTTGGTTTTGGACTCTTCTGGGGCTGAAATCAACGAATGTGTAGGTGAAATGTTGGTTAATACAGATGGGGTTCGGTCTGTGGAGCCTTGTTTGGATGAAATTGGGAAGATTAGAGGTGGGTTTTTCGTTATTCGTCCGTTGCTAGCTGGGTTTGGCGAGGCGGTGGTGGCATTACTTGGTGGGTGTGATATTGGGGCTCGCCCAATTGATCGGCACATTCGTGGCTTCGTGCCCTCGGCCCCATTGTCGAATTGAGGTTAGTGCACCTAATGGGTTTTAAGCATTCAATAGTGTAATGTTTGAAATGCCTTTTGGAGTATCACTGTATCATTCAGTAGATGAAGATCATTAGAGTCTTATGTTCCAACAGAATGAAGAAAAAAGAAAAGAAATTGAAAAATAATAAAAATAAAAATGAAAAAGAAAAAGAAGAAGAAAAAAAACAAAGGCCACAGACAGCAGGAAGAACCGAAGAAGATAGGTACTGAAGAGGTTGGTGAACACCGGTAGGTCCTAAAATAGTTCCACGTCTAACGAAAACATCTGAAAGGAGCAGGCACTGGCAAAGTTCTTATCAAACGACGGAGTTACTTGCATGGGTTATTAATTATACCACTTATTCCTAATCTTATTATTAGTATCAACTTATCATAAAAATGAACCCAAAAAAAAAAAAAATTTGTAACTATCATTTTCTTATTTGAAAAAGTAGATTTCCAAAAATGATTACCTTATTATTAAGACTTTACTATTTGTAATAAAACTTATTATACTCCGTTTAATTTTTTTACCGTAAAAAAAACTTTTTTTTCATATAATATATTAATTAAAAATTAATTAATTACTTAACTAAAAAATACCTTCTATTTAATGTAATATATATTTATTAAAAAAAATAAGAAACTATTAAATTTTTTAAAATTTTCTACATAAAAATGAAAAAAAAAAATCATTTTCTTATTTGAAAAAGTAGATTTGCAATTATTATTAAATTATTATTAAAATTTTACTATTTATAATAAAATTTATTATACTCAATTTAAACTTTTTTACTATACAAAAATATCTTCTTTTTCATACAATATATTCATAAAAAATTAATTAATTACTTAAATAAA